TCAGGCTGACAGCAATGTCTCCAGCCTTGGCATCTTGTCTTCTCTTAGTTTAAGGTCTTGTGCCCTCCTATCTGCTGGAGACCTTCCTATGGATGCCAGCCACGGCACAGTCAATACCCAGCTTTTTCTCCACAAACCTAATTCCTCCTGCATTCTTTCTGGTCTCTAATAGGATGCTACCATGCCCTAGGCTGCTGGAGATAGATCCGAAGACTCAAGTTTGAGTCCTATCCCCGCCCCCAACCATCCCACGTCATCTCTATATAACCCATCACGTATAAATTCTATCTCCAAGCCCTGACCAGGACCCACTAGCTCCTTCCCACCTCCACTGCCACCCCTCTGGTCTACACTACCATCGCCTTCCTGGAATAGCAAAATGGTATCCTGATGCATCTTTGCTGCATCTACTCTTTGCTCCCTAGGACCTTCATGAAGCAGTCTCTTAACAATGTCAGTCAGATTCTATTCCTGAGCCTCAACTCAACAATGCTCCCTTTACACTTGATGGGAGGATTTCCAAGCTGTGTGAACTTGACGCTAAAATACTCTTCAACCTCACCTTGCAATGGTCTCCTCATCGCTCCTGACTCTGCTCACTCCCTGGAATACTTGGAGCCCTCCTGCGCATGGAAGATTCTGTATATTCCTACCCATCTCCTCAGAATGTCCTTCTCCCACCTCCTCTCCCCCACATCCTCTCCGTTTATCTCCGTCCTTCTCTACTTTCCAGCCTCGGACCTGGCTTTCCCTGGTAAACCAAGAGTCAACATTGTATTCCCAGCCTCGGCTTCATTCTTTGATTTCCTGGGGGGGGGGGGGGAAACTCACATCCTACAAGTTCTCAGGACTACTTAGAAGTTACCAGCTTCATCCTGGATGCCTATCTCTTCTAGCGGAATGCAAGCACCAGGAGGGTGGGGCTCCATCTCTCTTGTTCATCACTGTATCACAGGGACTCCATGGCAAGGCTTAGCATAGAGCAGGTGCTCAATACATGGTTGTGGGCTTGATTAATTGAATGAAAGAACATAATCCTGACAATGAAAGACGGGGCTGAAAATCAGAGTCCTTGAGAACAGGGTGCTATTCATCTTTGCATGATTAGTACCTCCCACAATGGAGCCACTTAGCAAGTGTTTACTGGATACAAGAAAGAATGACTCAATCCAGATGAATTTGAGGAAGGCTGTCCTTTCTGGGAAAGGCTCCCAAGGAGTCCCCTCTCTGGGGGAACACTCGTGTGTGTGTGTGTGTGTGTGTGTGTGTGTGTGTGTGTGTGTACGTGTGTACGTGCCTGCATGCATGTACCCAGGAGTGAACACTGGGGTCAGACAGGGTCTCTCATTGTACCTAGAGCTAGGCCAGTGCATGCCAGCAAGCTCAAGAAATCACAGTGCTGAGCCAGGGTGCCTGGTTTTTTTTACATGAGTTCCAGGGATTTGAACTCGGGACTTTATGCTTATAAAGCAAACACTCTTTCCAACTGAGCCATCTCCCTAACGCTTCCTTGGTCCTTGTAACAAGTCTAGAGCATACCAGTGCTCAAAAAAGTGCTAGCTGTCACTGTCAGCACTGCTTAGGTAGGAATCGTTTGTGCAGACTTCTAGAAAAGACCTCCGGAACCAGTGAGAGAAAAAGAACAGGGGAGGAGAAAACACAAAAAGGGTCAGGAAGATCCCGTCAGAGTCAAATACAACTGAGAATGTAGTAGGGAAAATGCACGAACAGCAGAGGTAAGAGGGGAGTTCTCTTTTTCCTCTAGACCACAGCCACCTGGGCACAACACGAAGCAGCCAGCTGGGAGGAGGGTCTGGACCAGGAGGGCTCAGCTTGAATGCACACATTCATCTCAGGGCCTGCAGGGCTCGCTTGGGTTTTGGAAATCTGGCTTGCTGTAGGTGGGGAGGACTGGAGAGGTGGAAGGAATTTCAATTTCCTTCACCAAATGGCAAGATTGTGAGAAAGTCCTTTCTCTCCCGACATTATCACATACTAAAAATGAAGAGCCAGCCACTCAGCTTTCATGAGGAGGAAAATAAGTGGGCTGGCCCAGCTCACAGCAAGAACAGGATTCAAAATCAAGACTTCTGAAAATCTCACAGCACATTGTGTGTCAAGACACTGTCCTTTTGGAGTCTGGGGAGTTTGTATGTTTTCAACAAAAAGGAGAGAATAGAGAAAAACACCCCCCCCCCAACACACATAATAACTACAATTGTATATTTCAAACCCATTTGAGAGCTGAATGGCAAATCCACTTGGGTCAGTGAACAGGAGAAGTTGGGTAATGTTTTATTTTATTTTTTCAAGCCAGGATACAACGTACTAAAAATCATTATGCATTTTTGAATAGGGTAATTTAGAAATGCCTTATCACAAAATACATTCTTTCAGATAACTGCGTATCTTAAAAATAGCGGCAATAACAGATAAGGGAACCAGAGAAGGCGCTAATGTGGAGAGGGTTGAAAGACACAATTCCACGTCTGGTTCATGGCTGGCCGATCATAATCTAACACAGTCAGAGCAGCCCAGGCCCCAGAGTTTAGTGAATTGGAAGCTAGCTGTTCCTGACTAGGCCACCAAGTGGTCATATGCCCTTTGACAAGACAGGTAACCTGTTCGAACCGCTTCCATTCTAAGTTAAAGAAAAGTGGAAACAGTTGTTTTCTGAGATTCTTTTCTTCTCTACGGGACCACCCCCCTCCCCGCCCCCGCCCCATGGCCCTGCACAGGGGCCTTCCAAAGGCCCAGCAAGAAGACCTGATCGTTCAGGTTAGAACAGACATGAAATTGGCCTAAAAATTAAATTCTGTGTTTTACAATCTCAAAACATTACTCAGCAATCCTGTACCGCTGCTATTCCAGAATCAATTCTGCTAAAACAACCTGATGGAGTAGATGAACAACAACAAAAGTGGTCTTTTGGAACTGTACAGCTAAGGCTAAGGTCAAGTTAATGATGGTCTAGACTTGGCTAAGCCTCTCCATGATAAAAAGAACTCGCCTTACGAGTGCACAAGATGATGTCTCCGGATAAATCAAACAGCAGAAAATCAGATACCAGCGAGTTTTTTTTTTTCTTTTAAACTTACTATCGCTCATATAAAAATCAGCAGGTCCCCAAATGGTACAAGCGGAAGACACAAGGCATTTCCCAGCTCCCAAGTGGGATTACCAAACCCCCCTCGATTTCTTTTGCTTTAAGTAAGTGGTCTGGGGCCTGCCTGGCAGCGCCATGTCCAGGCCGGGTCCCGCGCCAAGGGGAACTTTCCTCCACTGCGCCGGAGACAATGCGGCGGCGAGTGCCCGCGCCTTGAATCGGCGCGGAAAGAGAGCACCGGAGAACCGGGAAAGTGCCGGGGAGAAGGAGGAGAGCGCCCCAGCGGGCTGGGAGAGCGCCTGAGAGGAAAAGGAGAGAGCCCCAACAACAGGGGAGAGTGCCCAGGAGGACCGGGAAAGCGCCCCCGCGGACCGGGAGAGCGTCCCCACGGACGGGGAGAGCGCCCGGCAGCTGTCCGGGCCTCGTCCAGGAATGGGTGCATTGCGCCCCGGGCGCATCCCCCCAACCCGGGTCGCCACCGCGGAGCAGGGGAACGCGCGCTCCAGCGCTGCGGATGCGGAGCCCCTGGGCGGCCTGGCCAACCCCGCAGAGCCGGCTGCGCGCCCCACACGCCCCCAGACCCCGCGCTGGTGCTCTCCCGGAGGAAAGGGACACCCAGAGCCCGCAGGGGTGCGGGTGGCCGTGCAGCGCCCCTCCGCGCCCGTCCCGCCGCCCCGCCGCCTTGCCACTCACCGGGACCGGGCGGGCCGCTGGGCATTATTCCATCGCGGGCGCGGCGGGGCCGGGCGAGGCGCGGGAGCGGAGCGCGGCGCAGGAAGGGGCGGGCGACCATGTGCCGAGGGGGAGGAGGCCGGCGACGCGAGCCGCTCGCTCGATCCCGCTCTCGGCGGCGGCGGGCGCGGGCTGCAGGAAATCCAAACACTTCGGCAGGAAATCGGAATCCTGACTAAGCACTCCCGGCCCGCGGCTGCCCCGCGCCGGGGGCTCCCGCCGCGCTTAACCCTTGGCCCGCCGGCACACTGCAAGTCGCCGGAGTAGGACCCCGCAAGGGATGCATGGGGTGGGCCTTGTCCTTGCCCACAGAGGGCAGGGGTGGGGCTTGTCAGCAGAAAACCTTGGCCTTGAAGTGAGGCTTGCTAAAGCTGGGGCACCGGGAGAGGACTGTAGTCTCCCTCCCATCCTGCCCTGCCTGGATGGCCTTGCGATCTCTCCTGACTTCTCCCTGTCCACTTTCACCGGTTCCTTTCCGTCGATTTCTCTCTTTTTGCCCAGTGCCTGGAGGCAGAACCTTTTGGGTCAGGATAGCACAGGGATGATCTGGCTAGCTTAGGTGGATTTCGATGTCTGAACCCAGGTTGGAGAATGATGGCCTTTTCCTTTCTCCTGCAAATGATACTCCCTTGAGCCTCAGTTTCTCAAATAAAGAAGGAGTGTTTGTAGACTCAATTTGGAAACCAGATGCTTAGAATGGCACGTTGGAAACACCAACTGCCTTATCGCAGTCTAAAGACCTCAGAGAAAGAAGGCTTCTAACTTACGGGATGTGTGTTCTTAGTATCTATGTGGACTTACATTGCTGGTGACAGGTCTGGACTTAGGACATCAGTTTCCCCCTGATCACTGGGTGATTGTTTTTCTTTGAGTCTTCCAGAAACTGCTGTCTGAAGAAAAGGTCAGCCGCTGCACAGACTCCCTTCTGGTGAAACATGAAACTCACCAGGCCTCACAAAATTTGAGATTTTGTTCTTAACCTGAGGCCGGTAGACTCGGGGGAGGGCGTGTTAATAAGCCTTGAGATGCTCCAGGGGGTTTAGGAAACCCAGCCTGGAAGTCTGGGAGGCCATTGGGAGTGATTCATTGTGGTTTCCCGAGGAAATGCCACCTTTTTTTTTTTTTTTTTTTTGTTAACCTGGAGGCTGCAGTTTGGTGGTTTTGCTTAAGTGTTTCAGATTCCTCTGAAACCCAGACTTACAGGAAGGACCCACATGTGGATAAGTGAGAACTGAGAGGAACATGCTGGGAACTGAAACTTGGGTACCAGTTTGTCTCTAAAGGAAGAACAGACATGCGCTTTGCACCCAAAATCCATGTCTTTTCTGTGATCACAAGACGGTGGTGGCAGACACCTTTAATCCCAGCACTCAGGAGGTAGAGGCCTGTGGATCTCTGTGAGTTCGAGGCCAGAGCGGGTTCCTGGACAGCTAGGACTACACACAGAGAAACCCTGTCTTGAAAAACAAACAAACAAAAACAAAAAACAAGCAAACGAAAGAAGTCATAGGAGAACTCCACGCTGGGCATCAGGAGCCCAGGGTTCTGCCCTTCACAGCTACCATTCTTTGGAAAGAACCTCTACCCAACTGAGGTTGGCGGATAAATCATGGTGCAGAAGTTAGGTCCTCAGAGTTTCCCCCTAACCATTTGATCTACTTGTTGTCTGGTCCCCACACCCTCACTCCCCCCCCCCCCAATCCCATCCCTGGTTCTAATGCTTCATAATTCTTGTCACTATTTTATCTTTCTGGATGCTTATTTATCATTTCCCCATGGCTAAGCTGCATTACAGCAGGATTCTTGACTGTCTCTTTTGGTACATGTTCCAGTGCCAAGAACCATACTTGCACAGAGGAGCCCCTCAGTAACATATGCTGGAGTGAGGGGTAAGAGGAATGAACGGGGTGAACGGGGCAAAGACTTCCATCCAAGCTAGGCAGTTCACCCTGTCCCTAAGCTCCATTAATCTTTCACTCAGAGACTTGACATGGAATGTTCAGTGTAATGGAAGAAGTGCCGTGAGCTCTGCTAATGGTCCTGGGAAGTGAAGACTGTGAGTAATTAAGACTGTCAGCTGAGGTAACTGTAGTCTCATTGGTACATCACCAGTTAATTATTCCCTCCTTTATGCTTCCCCAGCATTTCTGGTCATTAAAGGTCTTACAGGTTGGGCCAGGGCATGGTGGCACATGCCTGTAATCGCAGCACTTGGGACGATGAGGAGTTCAAGGTCATGTTGGATACATAGGGAACTTGAGCCTAGTCTGAGATACATGAGACCCAGTTTAAAAAACCAAAGAAGACTTTATGTGTTGCATTAGATGTTCATATTAGATGGCTGGCCTTTCTTCAGTGAAATGAAGGGAAGGGCGTTGTGCAATATTATTTTAAGATGTGTTACATTTGTTTATGCTGTGGGACATTTGTGTAATGATGCAAAGATGTGTTGCATTCTTTTATGTTGCATTTGTTTAAGTCTGTGAAGCTGTGTTACTTTACCTGCCTAAAACACCTTATTGGTCCAATAAAGAGCTGAGTGGCAATAGTAAGGCAGGAGATAGGATAGGTGGGGCTGGTAGGCAGAGAGAATAAGTAGAAGGAGAAAAAGAGGGATCGGGAAGCAAGAGAGATCAAGGAGCAAGAAAACAAGGAGAGGAGGACTCTAGGGACCAGCCACACAGCCACACAGCCAGCCATGGAGTAAGAGTAAAAGTAAGATATGTAGAAGTAAGAAAAGGAAAAAGGCCAGAGGCAAAAGGTAGATGGGATAATTTAAGAAAAGTTGACTAGAAATAAGCCAAGCTAAGGCTAGGCATTTATAAATAAGAACAAGCCTCCGTGTATTTGTTTGGGAGCTGGGTGGTGCCCTCCCCACTCCCTCATCCCCCCCTGCTAAAGACCAAAGAGTCAAAGAGCAAAGAGTAAAAACAACCAACAACAGAAGAGACCACATTTATTGACCACTTACTTAATCTAAGCAAGACCTTGAGAGCAAGGTGAATTTAATCCATTTAACATTGGTCCCTGTAGTGGGTAGCCATTCCAGCTTTGATCTGGAAGTTCCAACCCCCATTGAGACTTCAGCAACTGTCACGCCTACAAGGCGGGGCCAAGAGAGGCGCCTGGAGACTGGAGATCTGGATCGGCGGGCTCGCTCTCGGTTCGGGACCCTGGACGGGAGAGGTGGGCCAAGCAGAGCTCCAGAGAACACCGCTGGACTGCGATACACCTTCCCCAGATCCCGCGGCCTACCTATCCCTTAATTTGTAAGTTACGCCATTAAATAAATCTCCTTTTAACTACGTGGAGTGGCCTTAATAATTTCACCAATAGTCATGGGACTCAAAAGTTTGTGGACAGATGTTCTTGTTCTCCAAAAAAGATAGGCAAGAATTGCCATTGAGAGGACTAAGAGGTAAGGTCTCATCAGGGTATGTCATGGGACTGTATAGACCATGGGTTGGGGTAGGGGTACAAAGAAGTTGAGCAACACTTCCAGGAAGTGATGGGAGCCCTTAAAGTAAGCAGAACAATGAATATGTCTAGGTGACAGTTGGCTCTAATAACCTGGGCCCACCTCTAATAACATCTGCAGCTGCCATATGGTGCCCTCTGTCCCCCTCATACACACATCTCTTTGCCTGGAGTTTCTCCAAGGCAGTAGAATCTTGCCCCACCTAGAAGTACCCAACAACTCTAGGACAGTCCCCCAATCCATAAGGGGATAAAGGCCTCTGTTCTCCAATGGAGCAGAGGTGTAAACTGCTCTCAAGATTATTCCTCAGGGGGTCATCATGGGACTGAATCCATGCAGTAACTGCATTAACCCATTCCTTTATTATTCACCTTTCTTTCTCACTTTCTCCTTTGTTCTTCCTGGGATCACCTCCCAGATAAAGTAACCACACCTAACTCCTTGTCTCCAGGTTTGCTTCTGGGAAAGCTCAGTTCAGAACAGCATTCATCTATGTATACATGGATACTGACTGGCTGGATACTCCCTGTGCACCTGAGCCAAGACAACATGAACAGGCCTCATAGTAATTCTAGAAAGTTCTGCATCATCAGATGAAATGGTATATGTTCAGAACAGAAATCAATAAGACTAAAACTCTTTTGTATTATTTTATAGTTAAGGAAACTGAGGTACCTGAACGTTGAAAAACTTGCCCAAAGCCAAGAATTTAGTGAATGGAAGAGCTTTGGACTCCAGACTCTTTGCTACCCTATACTGCCTTTCATGATGGTTGAAGCTGTGGGTATGAACTGTAGCTGAATTTCCTTAAAGAGTGGGAAGAGGGACACAGAAAAGGACCAGGAGTCAAGGGAAGAAATTACTCCCAAAGAGAGGTGATGGCCAACACTCACAAACATCCCAGAAAATTCAGTTCAGTGAGGATCGGAAGGTGAGTATCCATTGCATTGGACAGTTACAAGGCTAGTAACTTTTACCAAGGCTGTGTGGATGGACTGAAGGGATTGGAAGCCAGATTGCAGTGGGTTGAGGAATGAGTCGGAGGCTGCAAGTGTAGACAACTCTTTTGAGAAATGTGGCTGTCTAGCAAGTAGGAGGCAAGGGTGGAGCCTCTCAAAGATGGCCTGGCCTGCCAGCATCTGTGGGTGATGGGAAGGTTTTGTTGGAGTGGTAGCAGAGGCAGAACTAGGCCCCCATGGATGAGAGAGGAATGGGGGCCAGCTCTGAACTCTTGGAGAGCCACTTTGTCCACTGGAGGGAAAGGGCAGCTGTTAAGGTCCAAAGCATCATGAATTTATCCTAGATTCATAGACTAAGTGGGTCCTTAAAGCTCCCCCAGTTGGATTCCTTATGAAATTCATGATCAGGGCAATCAAATGCAGACGATATAAAGTGCCTTCAGCCTCATGACTGGAAAACAGAATAAGAAGCTATTTTGGCCCCCAAGTATGTTAGTGATGCAGGAGCAGTGAGCTGAGCAAAGAGTTAGGAGACAGCTGGCACTGTATGTTGGCTGAAGGGGGTGCAGGGCATACTAGGAGGGGCAATGGTGCTCACCTGTGAAGAGGAGGAGGAGGAGGCTGGTATTTTTAACCATCATAAAGAGCATGAAGGAGAAGGTTCTGAGGAGGAAGATAATGAGTTCCTGTTTGTGCTTAGCGCAGAGAAGGCAGTGTGGGTGTGGGTAAGAGTCTGAGGCGCTGCCGAGCTGGGGTAGGGGCCAGGCTTGAGGGTGGAGGGAGGGGGAGGTAAAGGAGCCTGCACAGTTGGTAAGAGGGGGAGTTCGCACCGAAAAAGGCAGCGCCCTACCCCAGCTTCTCACTGTCTTGCTTTGCACTGATTTCTCCAGCGCTGGGTCTCTCATCCTTGGAGCTGCTGGACCAGTTCATTCCTTATTGAAAGGGGGCTTCTTACGGATTGTAGAATGTTGAACAACATTCCTGGCTGCAACTTACTGGATGTTAGCAACAAAACCCAGTCAGAAGAACCAAAACTATCACTAGTTGCCCAATGTCTCCTGGCAGCAAAAGTGCCTCCCAGACAGAAGCCCTAATCCATTATCTTAATTTTTTTCCCCTCAGATAACCTTCAAGTTATTATAAAGTGAACAATATGGAGTCAGTAAGGTGTTTGCTACTCAAACACAAGGACCTGAGTTTAATCTCCAGCACCCATGTAAAAAGCCTTGCAACTCATCAAGAGCTGAGGAGGCAGAGACAGGAAGATCCGTGGCTAGTAGTCTAGTGACCTCTAGGTTCAGTGAGAGAGCCCGTATTAACAACGACAATAGTGATGATGATGTGGAGAGAGAGACTGACAGACATTTGATGTCAACCTCTGGTTTACACACACACACACACACACACACACACACACACACACACACACAAGCACACACACAGAGACAGAGAGGGAGAGACAGAGACAGAGAGAGAGAGAGACAGAGAGAACACTTACTCCTATTACTCTACAGGCTGAGGCAGGAAGCCAACTTGAACTACATAGAAGACCTTGTCTTAGACAACAACAACAACAGATGTGGTAGCACATACCTATAATCCCAGCACTTGAGAGGTGAAGACAGACAGATCAGGAGTTCAACATCATCCTGGGCTACATATGGACTTCTAGCCTAGGCTACCTGAGAACTGTCTCAGAAGACTCCCCCTCCATCCCTCCAAAAAAATGAACCTTTGGATAGAAGCATCTGTTTCCAGTTCAAATTCTGACTTTATCATCTTCTGGGCTCATGACCTAACAAGTCTTTTTTTATTCCCTTCTCTGGGCTTACCTTTTGTGGTTTTGTTTTTATTTGTAAAACGAAGTTTTTGAGAATGAAATAAACAATCTATGTAAGTACTGGGTTCAGACAGAGTGTCTAGTTGGCATTTAGTCATTACTTGCTACTCTTAGTAGTATTTAGACTTTGGTGATACATCCAGTAAACATTTTGAAATTGGGGCCTCTAGATATTGATCTCACAGACATGTCAAAAATAAGAGGGTATCCTGGGAGGTGATGGACATTTGCATATAAGCTGAAGAAAGAAGAGAGATTGGAGCCAGAACCCCAAGGAACATCCACATTTACCAAGCAGGTAGAGGAAGTAGAGTCTATGGTGGAGCATGGGTGATTAGAAATATGGATAAGGAACAAAGTTTGAGTGAGTTTTTCTTCCAGACAAAGTAAAAAAGTACCCCAGGTTTTTGGGCAATATGTGTGAACATGTCAAGTGATGGTCACCTTGTGGAATCATAACCCCATTGATAAAGGAACTAACTGTCATTGAGTGCTCACTTTTAGTTAAAACCTATATTTATGATATTAACAATAATTTAATGCTCACAACAAAGCTCTTTGTCATACTAAAGTATTACACAAAGGAAAGGTGAGCTCATCAGGTAGGATTGAAGGTGAGCCAGGGCCTTGGTTTCTTTTCCTATTGCTGTGATAAATTGACAAAAACAACTTGATGGGAAGTCTATTTTAACTCCCAGTTCACGGTGCCTTTATTAGAGTGGAGAAGTCAAGGCGGGAGGTTCAAGCAGCTGCTCACATCGCATCCACAATCAGAAAACAGAATGATGAATGCAGGTAGAGTCCAGGATCTTAGCTAGGGATTGATGTCAACCAGAGTGGGTCAAAGAAAAAGAAAACAATGGAAGGGTGACACAAAGTGTTGGAAGGTAAAACATGGTGGGCATCCATTTAGAAAAGGGATATACCCATCTCTACCTATGCTGTGTTAGAGCCTAGGGCAAAAGGATAAGTCACTCATACATACTAATCATTTATTTAAAACGTCACCATTTTGTTTGTCTTAGAATTTTCATGTGAATTTTTCATTTAAAACGTTGCAATGACTTTAACAAAAAAAAATCTTGAAGACTGTGATGGTTGATACTGTCAACTTGGCAGGATCTAGAGTCACCTAGGAGACAAGCCCTAGGCATGCTTGTGAAAGACTGTCAGGTTAGGTTAACTGAGATGGGAAGACCTACCTTAATTTTGGGCAACACCACCATTCCATGGCCTGGGATCCCAGACCAAATAAAGAAGAGAAAGTGAGCTAAGTGCTATGGTTTATCTCTCTTTCCTTCTTTAGTGCAGATTCAACGTGCCAAACTGCCCCCTAAAGCTACCACTGTCATGACTTCTCTACCATAGCAGACTGTGCCCTCAAACGAGCCAAATAGCCTCTTTCTTCCCCATTTGCTTTTGTTGGGGTATTTTATCACATCAATGAGAAAAGTCACCAACTGAGTTACTGCCTCTGTTGGCACCCTTTGGGGTGTATCAGACAGAATGCCAAATTCTTTCAGCTTTCCTAACCTTGCTATTTATGATTTGATTTCTAGCCTGGGTCATTTCCTTATCAAGGCAGAAGCTAAGATCTTGATTTCAGCCCCACAGGATCCAAAGCAACGGGGAACATTAATTCCATGAGAACCCAAGGGTTTCCAGGACAAGGAAACGGACACAGTAAACATCAAAACCCTAAACAAATGTCCACTCCAAGAGGTTCTACTTTAGGCCAGCTGGAGATGCAGAGTACACACTGTGTGGGAGCTGAGGAGAGGAAGGAAGGAAGTGGGTTAGCTCACACCAACCAGCAGAACCAAGTGGTCGAGAAACTGCACTGATGTTGGTAGCCTGAGTTCAAATTCTGGCTTAACTACCTATGAGCAGTGTGATTTCTACATCATAACTTAAAGTGCTGAGTCTTAGTTCCTGAATTAAAGAACGGAACCATAGAAACATCCCTCTCCTAAGGTTGCTAGGAAGATTAAAAGATCTCATTTAGCACAGACTGGCTTCCAACTTGCTATGAACTAGAGGCAGACCTTGACTCCTCAACCTCCAGCATCTCTCTCCCCATTGCTGGGGTGACAGGCATGTGCCACCATACTTGTCCAACTCTTTTTTTCTTTTTAAAGCTGTGGTTCCTATAGTTTGAATGTGTCTATCAAAGTTTATGGGTTGGAAACTTAATAGCCAATGAAATAGGGTTAAGATGTGGGCTCATTAAGAGGTGATGGGGTCATGAGAATTGTGACCTTGTGACTAGGTTTATTATTATTATTATTATTATTATTTTCAATTAGTATTACAGGAATGGGTCCTCAATAAAAGAATGAGATCCATTCTTATTTTTTTTTTAATTCTCTCTTTCCCTCTCCCTGCCTCTCCATGGCTGGTCTCTGATTTTATATGTAGTATAACCTTGAACTTTTGATTTTCTTGCCTCTACCTCTGAAGTTCTGGGATTATAGATATTTGCCGAAATGCCTGGTTTTACAAAGTGCTGAGAACTGAACCTAGGACTTTGTATATGCTAGACTAGCACGCTATCAACTGAACTATATCCCTAACCCCCTAAATATTTTTTGTAAATTACCCAGGCTCCAGTGTTAAGCATTTTGTTACAGCAGCACAAAACACACTAAGTATCAGCATTTTAAAAAGTAATTGTTTTTTCAAGCTACGGAGTAATAAGGGTGGGAGACAGAACAGTAGCCACTCAGAGGGAAAGCAGGGCAAGCTTGGTTTTGTTTCCATTTCTCCCTGTTGGAAGAGCAAGAACAGTGTCCAGAAGGGTGGGGATGTCAAAACCATGTAAAGAACAAGGAGTTACCTAAGCTGGAAATATCTGTTACACATCCTTGAGTTGGGCTTGTCAAGTCAATAAAAGTTAATGACTAGAGCCCGGCCACGCACACTTAACTGGCACAGCCGAAACAGAGCCCAGGTCATGAGAACGTCTTCCCATCATTCCATTATTGCAACACCCTCTGCCGAAGCTCCCCCTGCAAGGGCCCTGGAGATGAACTCTCACTGGCATTTCCTCTGGAGCTGCTGAGCACTGGAAAAATACTTTCTGTTCTTAGGTTGTTAATTTTAAAGGCTTCATTTCCAGCTATAATGGACCCTTGTGATAAAAGGATCAAGCAAATGGGTCGCTGCAGCAGTCACTTAAGCAAGTAAAGCCCTTTTCCATTTTGTGTGAAATTAGTAAGCACTTCACCTGGGAACCCCTGGTGGCCCAGAGAAAACCATCTCCGACCTCCTTTTTTATAGTGAGGTCTTTCCCCTCTTAGGCATTCCCATAGCTCTTTGGAATCAGGGCTGGTCAACCTGTCCCACGGGGCATATCATCTCTCCCCTGTAGCCTCCAAAGGCAGAGACTCTGCCATTCCTCTGTGTGTCCTAGCCCCTATTAGAGTGCCTGGTCCACAGGGTGCTCTCAGCCTGTGGCTCAGGAATTAAACACTCACATGCCTTTCAGAGCATCACCCTCATGAGCTACTTGAGAGAAACTCTCATGCCCTGAGTCAGCAGAGAATGGACACAGGAGACCTGAGAGCAGGTGTCCCCTGCTGACTGGTTAGAGAAGGGCACTGTGCTGGTAATGAAGATGATGGGGATGACAGTGATTGACAGTGACAATACGAATATCTGAAACTTATGTGTGCTCACCCTATGCCTCGAACCATCCTAATGACTCTAATGTCCTTTTCCAATGATTATCTCATTTAATCTCAGATTTAAGATGCTGGAGTCATCAGTCAAGGACACTGAGGCTTAGGAAAGTTGTGTGCGGAGGGCATATCTGTGTTTGTGTTCACCGTTCTCCACAGAATCTTCTGAATGCTGAACTTTGGGGACCAACACTGGAAATGGAAATTGCAGAATCAAACTATAAGGGAATTTTAGAGATATCTGAGTCTGGGATTTATTTTTTTTAAGACTATTGACTGATTTTGTGTGTGTGTGTGTGTGTGTGTGTGTGTGTGTGTGTGTGTGTGTGTGCGTACGCACGCACACGCGCCACGTATGTGGGCCTGCAAGAATTTATGTCCACCATGCAGAGGCCATCCAATCCCCTGGAACTGGAGTTATAGAGGGTTGTGAGCTGCCATGTGGATGATGGGAACTGAACCCAGGTTCTCTGCAAGAGCAGTAAGTATTTTTAACCACTGACCCATCTCTCTAGCCCCAAGATTTATTTTTGAGAGAGAGAGACTGGGGGAGGGGGAGGAAAGGAAGGGAGGAAGGAAGGAAGGAAGGAAGGAAGGAAGGAAGGAAGGAAGGAAGGAAAGAAGGAAAGAAGGAAAGAAGGAAAAGAAAAGAAAAGATGCAGGTTGGGTCTCAGTATACTCCCAGCACTTGGAAAGCTAAGGACTGCTATGAGTCTGAGGTAAGCATGAGCTATATAGTGAAACTTATCTAAAAAAAAAAGAAGAAGAAGAAGAAAAATGAAAAAGAAGAGGAAGAAGGAGGAGAGGAAAAAAGAAAAAAATTAGATACATCAGAGCTTTAGACATATAATGGAAATAACAGAGTCCCCGGAGTCTGAGTCAACTGTTTCAGAAAAAACAGAAAGTAGCTCCCTATTGCTTTTGTAAATAGTCCTTAATTGAACTCAGCCCTGGTGTCATAAGCAGTCTTCTGCATCTATCCAGGCTGGAGACTGCTTGCTAGGTTGCTGTTGCAGAGATATTTACACACCCATGTTTTAACTCTAGACAGGACTTTCAGTCTGTGAATTACTTATTCCACTATAATTGTAGCTGCTAGGAAACTGCCTGGGGCCATTTCAGGGGGAAAAAAAACGAGATGAGAATTCCCCTCGAAGCCAACTGTTGCCACCCTAAAATTAACAACATTAACAATTATGAGCTAACATTTACATAGTGCTTTAAAATTATTGTTTAACAGTATCTTGCCTGCCTTTTTTTTTACTCCCATGCTAGTTGGAAGGAAAAGACAGTTATGAAGAATTTCAAGGAACCCCCAAGACCTGTTTCCTCCAGGACTAAAATACACAGCTTTAGTTTAATAAGTATTCAGTGAGCATC